TCTATTATTATAAGATATAAATTCTCCATGAAGAAATTTTGAAGGCAATGGTGCTGAGATTGCTTGATAATTTATGGGTTTATATAATGATTGGACATAGGTTTTTTTTTTTACTTCTATGCTTATATATTGGTGACATCTTTTTATATTACTTATGAAATGTTTTCATTTGCATTTTATCAGTTGACATCAGTGCTATCTTTACCACAAACAAGAACATTATATTATCCAAAAAGTTATAGGACAGTACCTTGAACAACAATCACAGTAACAACAACAAACAATGAAGAATGAGTCAAAAAGTAATATTTTCTCATCCATCATGTTTATTAAAAAGGAAGGTGCAATCTAGCCATTTCATCAAGCAGCTAAATTTATATCAAGGCTTATGTGTTCATAATCTTCAAGTATGTCTCAACTTGAGTTACTTTGAGGGATACTTTCTGTGATAGTTTACATGCACCTGAGCTCACTAGCTCCTAGAAACTGGGATGGTTGTCTTTCTTTTCCTGGTGAAGAATAGCAAGCTAAATGTGGATGAGTAGACGAGGTTGGAGACCTGGACAGAAAGAAGCAGCAAAGATGACCAGGGGACTGGAGGCTAAAACCTATAAGGAATGGTTGCTGGAATTGGGTATGTGTAGTTTAATGAAGAGAAGGACGAGGGGGGACATGATAGCAGTGTTCCAATATCTCAGGGGCTGCCACAAAGAAGAGGAAGTCAAGCTATTCTCCAAAGCACCTGAAGGCAGGACAAGAAGCAATAGATGGAAACTAACCAAAGAGAGAAGCAACCTGGAACTAAGAGAAATTTCCTGACAGTATTAACCAGTGGAACAACCTGCCTCCAAAAGCTGTGAATGTTCCAATGCTGGAAGTTTTTAAAAAGAGACTGGACAGCCATTTGTCTGAAATGGTATAGGGTTTCCTGCCTGAGCAGGGGGTTGGCTTCCAAGGTCCTTTCCAATTTTCCAGCTCTATTCTATTCTATTCTATTCTATTCTATTCTATTCTATTCTATTCTATTCTATTCTATTCTATTCTATTCTATGTCTTAAATATTATTGTAATTAACATCTTAATCACAGCCAGAGAACTTTTGAGGATGTAACACTGTTTTGTGCGAAAACCTGGCACAAATAACCTTTTAAAATTCTCCACCAATTTTGGAGTAGGGAATTTGGATGGACCATTTCTTGGAATAACGTCAAGAGAAGGAGATGTGCTAATGAGAGGATTCCCTCATTGTGATTACAATAGCACCACTACTGAACAAGCCCAAATAGGAAGAATTTCTTGGTGGCTTTGCTTACAGATGAATTAAAACATGGAAAGCCAGAGAGGCTTATACAGCAGAGATTATGACCCAATGGATGACCAATGGGTTTTCAAACACACATACTCTTGGCTCCTTTATAAACTAAGGAAATAAAATAATACTTTATCTTACTTTCTGCTCAGCATTTATTAAGACATGGCATCTAGATTATGCAATAATGCGGAATCCAGAGGAAGGCAAATAAATCTGCCCTGTCATATGTGCACTAGTTGTACCGAGAATATGCTGTGAAAATTTTTTGACCGCTTGGTCATCCCTAATCTGCTGTCCTTTAGATAATGATAATGATAATAATAAGAAGAAGAATAATAAGAAGAAGAATAAGAAGGAGAAGGAGAAGAAGAAGAAGTATATCAGATGGTTGAAGAAGAAAAAATGGCTTTGGAAGAATATCTGAAGGACAGTGATGAGGATGCACTGAAATTAGTATATCAAGAAGGCTTACTGACTACTGGAGAGACCAAACTGGCCTACAAGAAAGACCAAATGAAGAACAGAATAGAGGCATGGGAAGACAAAGCACCACATGGCCAGTACATTAAAAAAATAGCTGGGGAAGCAGATAATAAAAAGACCTGGCAATGACTAAGAGCAGGAAAACTGAAGAAAGAAACTGAGGGACTAATTCTGGCTGCACAAGACCAAGCCTTAAGGACAAATGCATATAAAGTCAAAATTGAGAAGACAGCAACAGACAGTAAGTGCCGCCTATGCAAAGAAGCTGAAGAAACAGTGGACCACCTGGTAAGCTGTTGCAAGAAGATTGCACACAGACTGACTACAAGCAGCGGCATGACAAAATAGCAACAATGGTGCATTGGAAGATCTGCAAAAAATATCATTTGCCTGTAAGCAAAAACTGGTGGGATCATAAAATAGAGAAAGTCATAGAAAATGATAAAATTAAACTGCTCTGGGACTTCAGAATTCAAACAGACAATCACCTGCAACATAACACCCCAGACTTAACAATTGTCGATAAGAAAGACAAAAAAGTCTGGATAGTGGACGTGGCAGTGCCTGGAGACAGCAGAATAGACGAAAAAGAACTGGAGAAGATAACAAAATACAAAGACCTACAAATAGAAATAGAAAGACTGTGGCAAAAGGAAGCAAGGGTAGTACCAATAGTAATAGGTGCCTTGGGTGCAATCCCAAAACAACTGGAGCACCACTTGAACACCATTGGCATTGACAAATTTGCCATTAGTCAATTGCAAAAGGCGGCCTTACTAGGAACTGCTTCCATCTTGCAACAATATCTGTAAAATCATCAAACATCCACATCTGCCTATCCCAGGTCCTGGGTAAGGACTCGATAGGTAGACAAAATGCCAAATCCAGTCTGAACATCTGGCTGACTGTGCGATGATCAATAATAATAATAACAACAACAACAACAACAACAACAACAACAACAACAATAATAATAATAATAATAATAATAATAATAATAATAATAAAGTTGGAAGGGATCTTGGAGGTCATCTAGTCAACCCCCGGCTCAGGCAGGAAATCCTATACCAATTCTGGGAGTTGAAGTCCATGAGTCATAAAAGAGGCAAGATTGCCTACCCCTGCCCTATATCATTTCAGACAAATGGCTGTCCAGTCTCTTCTTAAAAACTTCCAGTGTTGGAGCATTCACCACTTCTGGAGGCAGGTTGTTCCACTGGTTAATTGTTCTAACTGTCAGGAAGTTTCTCCTTAGTTGTAGGTTGCTTCTCTCCTTGATTAGTTTCCATCCGTTGCTTCTTGTCCTGCCTTCAGGCACTTTGGAAAATAGCTTCACTCCCTCTTCTTTGTGGCAGCCCCTGAGATATTGGAATATTCTATCATGTCCCCCTCATCCTTCTCTTCATTAAACTAGACATACCCAATTTCAGCAGCCATTCCTTATATGCTTTAGCCTCCAGTCCCCTAATCATCTTTGTTGTTCTTCTCTGTACTCTTTCTAGAGTCTCAGCATCTTTTTTACATCGTGGTGACCAAAACTGGATGCAGTATTCCAAGTGTGACCTTACAAGGCATTGTAAAGTGGTATTAATACTTCACATAATCTTGATTCTACCCCTCTGTTAATGCAGCCTAGCACTGTGTTGGCTTTTTTGGCAGCTGCAGCACACTGCTGGCTCATATTTAAGTGATTGCCACTAGGACAGGGCTTTTCAATCTTTTCACCCATTGTACCACTTTTAGGATATGGCAACATCCAAGTACCACCAGTTGCCTAGCAAGGTGTCAAAAACTTGATGACCCCCCAAAAAAGGAGAAAAGTGATATAATACAGGTAGTCCTTGACTTACCACAGTTCGCTTATTTACTGTTAGAAATTACAATGGCACTGAAAAAAGTGCCTCCCAAGCCACAGCCGAGAAAGATACCTGCTGGCCCACTCGGCAGTGGTCTTCCTCCTGTCCGAGGTTTTCATTGTTGTGAGCATGTCTGTTGAGGATTGGCAGCGGGGGTGGAGTGGGGTGGGTGTTTGGTTTTTATTCCCCCCGTCTGCTGAGTGGTTGTAGCAGGTTTTGGTCACTTCACAAGACCCTGTGACACTGTGACTGTCATAAATATGAATCAGTTGCCAAGCATCTAAATGTAAATCACAAGACCCTGGAGAGGCTGCAACATTCTTCTGGGCTCAGCAGAAGCACCAGGATCAGCGCCGAGGTCCATCTGGAGCCTGGCACTGATCCTGGTGCTTCCGCTGAGCCCTGACAGCCCTGCAGCTCCAGCTATCTCTCACTCAGATTTGTGCGGTGCTACCATCGGTTCAGCTCATTCCCCTCCCCCGCTACCACTTTTCTAGGATGGTCGCGTACCACCTGCCAGGTGCCAATGTACCACAAGTGGTACCCGTACCACTGGTTGAAAAGCCCTGCACTAGGACTCCGAGGTCCCTCTCACAGTTACTACTATTGAGCAAGGTAGCCCCTATACCAGTGTTTCTCAACTTTGGCAACTTTATGATGTGTGGACTTCAACTCCCAGAATTCAATTCTGGGAATTGAAGTCCACACATCGTAAAGTTGCCAAGGTTAAGAAACACTGCCCTATACTATACCTGTACATTTGGTTTTTCTTGCCTAAATGTAGAACCTTGCTTTTTTCACCATTGAATTTCATTTTGTTAGATAGTGCTCAGTGTTCAAGTCTGTCCAGATCCTCCTGTATCTTAAGCCTGTCTTCTGGAGTGTTGGCTATTCCTGCCAGTTTGGTGTCGTCTGCAAATTTGATGAGTTTCCCATGTATCCCCTCGTCCAAGTCATTGATAAGATATTGAAGAGCACTGGGCCCAGAACAGAGCCCTGGGGCACCCCACTACACACTTCCCTCCATGTAGATGCGGTTCCATAGAGGACCACATGCTGAGTACGGCTGGTCAGCCAGCTACGGATCCATCTGGTGGTGATGCTGTCTAACCCACATTTTTTATCTTATGAAGTATTAGGTTGTGGTCTACTTTATCAAATGCCTTACTGAAGTCCAAGTAAATTATATCCACAGCATTCCTCTGATCCACTAATCTTGTCACTTGGTTAAAGAATGCAATAAGATTTGTCTGGCATGATCTGTTTTTGATAAACCTGTGTTGGCTTTTAGTAATGACTTTGTTTGCCTCTAGGTGTTCGCTGATTCGTTGTTTGATTATCTTTTCCAGAATCCTCCCGGGTATTGAGGTCAGGCTGATAGGTGTCGAGCTCTGCGAGGCCGCCTTTGTATGAGGAAGAGACGCCGCCAGCCAACCCCACCGCCCGGCAGCAACCCCATCTGAATTTCACCGGTGCCGCTGCTCAGCTTCGTTGGCAAGTTAGCCCGGCATTGCTGGTATCCTCCCGTTCGCTCGTCGGAGCTGCATGTGATGTCATTTTCAGGCGCCTCGCTCTGTGCGACATTCTCCCTCAGAGCCTCGCAGGGCCGACATAGGACAGGGGAGAGGCCGGTCGCTAAGAAAATGACTGGACATGTTGCTGGATGGGCTGATAGTCTGGGAAAGGAGCAGGGAGGGGCTGGGACTGGGGTTTATGCCTTCTAGGCCAGATGATGGTTTGTTGGGTGGGGCTAAGTCCGGTGTGGGTGGGGCGGGCATGCTCCCTATGTAAAGGCACTGAGAGTAAGCCACTCTCAATGCCGACTTTATTCCTGTACGGAATGCATTAAACGTCCGTGTGTCTCTCATTCCTGCTTGCTGGCTGTTTTGTGGAGCTCCAAGATAGGACGACCTGACAATAGGTCTGTAATTTCCTAGGTCCATTATTTTTCCTTTTTTAAAGATGGGAATACATCAGCTCTTTTCCAGTCCTCCGGTAGTTCCCCAGATGCTGAGAACTACAATATCCATTATTCCCAGTCATCCTACCAGGAAGGCTGAACCCCCTAACCCAGTGTTTCTCAACCTTGACCATTTTAAGGCATGTGGACTTCAACTCCCAGAATTCCACAGCCAGCATTGCTGGCTGTGGAATTCTGGGAGTTGAAGTCCACATGCCTTAAAATGGTCAAGGTTGAGAAACACTGCCCTAACCCATGCACATCTGACTTGGTCTCCCCTTCAGAATAGTTGTTGAGAAATAAACAACATGCCCAACCAGATGGGTGGCAGATGCTACTTCCATGAGCAAACTGATGTTGCCCAACTTGTCACATTTTGGGGGATCTTATGGCTGTTGAAGACTTATTGGCTTCCTTCTAAATCAGAAACTTTTCCTGGACTGCCACAGAAAGTGGAGAACAGTCATGTTGGAGCTGCTGTTGATGGAGATTGTCCTCTGCCCAACCAGGAGGTTCTTTATTTATAGAACAGTCTTTGAACAGACCACTGCAGTTTAGTGTAGTAATAACAAGTTACAGCAAATTCTGAGAGTGGTAGAGTGTAACACAGCCATGCATTACGCCCCATTCTAAATTATCTTTGAGGAAAAGTCTGTAATTAAGGGAGATTTGAATAGGCAGTACCTGGGTCATTCTAAGGGATACTTTCTCAGTTATTTTTATGGGCAGGCAGAAAGAAAAAAAACACAGGCTGCCAAATGGAATGGGTCTTCATATAGTCCTTTTTTAAAGCTTTGATGCCTTGGAAAATCCAGCTTAAGTATAAATAATTTTAAAAAGTATTCAGAATTTAGTATCTCATAAATAAGGTTAATTAAAAATGTAAATGTCACAGTTGGGCAAAATGGTGTGCCTCTTTCATTGAAGGTATCCTGGAGCAAGTCTATTCCAGATCAGATAAGAAGCAAATCTAGGCATGCCCTGGATTAAGGACGACTCGTTAATCATGTCCCAAACCTGTGTCCACATGTATCTCAGAATTTTTCCATAGCTGAGGTAGCCCAAAGAAATGCTAAAATGCTAAGTGGAAGTGCTGAAAATGGTGCTTTCCCTAATATCTTGCCTCAGAAGACCGCTTGTGGATAATGTAGAGTTTGTTGGTGAACACCAAGGAGATGGTTAGAAATGATGAACTCCATGATGGCAATCTAATGACTCCAATTGGTTTTGTTTAGACACTGAGGGATCCTTAGTGTTCTCTGAGCTTGGTTGTTTTCTTGCAGATGTTTCATCATCCAAACTAGGTAACATCATCAGTGATAATGATGTTACCTGGTTTGGATAATGAAATGTCTGCAAAAAAAAAAAATAATAATAACCAAGATTAGAGAGCACCAAAGACTCCTCATTTCAACCTTGAGCTACAAATATTCTCCTTTATTGACACTGATCTCTTTGTCTGTCCCTCTCTCCTCCTGTCTGATGTGGAGTGAGCCTGGATCCCTTGGAACCAGAGACCCTTCCTCATTTGTAACTGGGGTGATTAAGCAGTCATCCAGGCAACGAACAGAGCAGTGTTATTGATATTGACTTCACTGTTCCCAGTTAAGTGAACACCGTGGAATCCATTGCTGAAAAGATTGGTTCTTTGAATTGCTTTGTTATCTGTTTATTTAAACTCATTGTGTGGTCAGCCCTTGTGTTAATAATCAATAAAGCAGTCAACCAAGAGGTGTAAATAACCCTTTGTTGCTACCTGTGTGAACAAAGGAAGGCAAATCCTGAAACTGACTAACCTGTTCCTGGCTTCAGATATGAAATTGAAAATGGAATAATAATAATAATAATAATAATAATAATAATAATAATAATAATAATAATAATAATAATAGTAGTAGTAGTAGTAGTAATAGTAATAATAATAATAATAATAATAATAATAATAATAATAATAATGTGGAATGTAAGTGTGGACAAATGTGCCACACTTACTATTAAACAAGGAAAAATAGTAAAACTGAAGGAATCAAGATGCCCCACGAAAATAACATTAAGAATCTGGATGAGGAAGATTACTACAAATACTTGGGTATCCTTCAAGCTGACAACATCAAGCACACTGAACTCAAGAAAAGGATTAGAGGTGAATACATCAAGAGAGTGAAGAAGATCTTAAAGTCCAAACTCAATGGAGGAAATACCATAAAGGCAATCAACACCTGGGCAATCCCAGTCATTAGGTACACAGCTGGAATAGTGGACTGGACTCAAGCAGAACTAAAAGCAATGGATAGGCAGACCAGAAAAATAATGACAATGAATCATGCCCTTCATCCACGCAGTGACATTGATAGACTTTATCTACCAAGGCAAATAGGTGGGCGTGGAATGCTACAAGTACATCAGATGGTTGAAGAAGAAAAAATGGCTTTGGAAGAATATCTGAAGAACAATGATGAAGATGCACTGAAATTAGTATATCAGGAAGGCTTACTAACTACTGGAGAGACCAAACTGGCCTACAAGAAAGACCAAATGAAGAACAGAATAGAGGCATGGGAAGACAAAGCACTACATGGCCAATACATGAAAAAAATAGCTGGGAAAGCAGATAATAATAAAACCTGGCAATGGCTAAGAACAGGAAAATTGAAGAAAGAGACCGAGGGACTAATTCTGGCTGCACAAGACCAAGCCTTAAGGACAAATGCATACAAAGTCAAAATTGAGAAGACAGCAACAGACAGTAAGTGCCGCCTATGCAAAGAAGCTGAAGAAACAGTGGACCACTTGGTAAGCTGTTGCAAGAAGATTGCACAGACTGATTACAAGCAGCGGCATGACAAAGTAGCAACAATGGTGCATTGGAAGATCTGCAAAAAATATCATTTGCCTGTAAGCAAAAACTGGTGGGATCATAAAATAGAGAAAGTCATAGAAAATGATAAAATTAAACTGCTCTGGGACTTCAGAATTCAAACAGACAAGCACCTGCAACATAACACCCCAGACTTAACAATTGTCGATAAGAAAGACAAAAAAGTCTGGATAGTGGACGTGGCAGTGCCTGGAGACAGCAGAATAGAAGAGAAAGAACTGGAGAAGATAACAAAATACAAAGACCTACAAATAGAAATAGAAAGACTGTGGCAAAAGCAAACAAGGGTAGTACCAATAGTAATAGGCTCCTTGGGTGCAATCCCAAAACAACTGGAGCACCACTTGAATACCATTGGCATTGACAAATTCGCTATTAGTCAATTGCAAAAGGCGGCCTTACTAGGAACTGCTTCCATCCTGCGACGATATCTGTAATACCATCAAACATCCACATCTGCCTATCCCAGGTCCTGGGTAAAGACTCGATAGGTAGACAAAATGCCAAATCCAGTCTGAACATCTGGCTGACTGTGCAATGATCCAAAATAATAATAATAAAGCCAATTGCAAAAGGTGGCCTTACTAGGAACCACTTCCATCCTGCGACGATATCTGTAATAATATCAAACATCCACATCTACCTATCCCAGGTCCTTGGGAAGGACTTGATAGGTAGACAAAATGCCAAATCCAGTCTGAACATCTGGCTGACTGTGCGATGATCAATAATAGTAATAATAATAATTTTAAAACCCCTCTGCTTTTATATTTGAGGTAGCCTTGCCTTGGGGAATTCCGTTCCCAGTTGCTGTGGCTTCAAAGAAATCCCTGATTCCTTGTTCTTGGAATTCACACAGTGATCCTGAAGAGAAACCCCTTTCTCAAACTGCTACTGTTCAGTGTATATCTCTCATCTGAACACATGAAGATGGTCACTACACAGCAGCCAGATGCAAAACAGTTTTTTCCTACTATCCAGTGGTTATGGTCCAATCATAGTTAATAATGATTTTTAAAAAACAGTCAATTGTACAACAAGAAAAAACAAGGGATAGTACCCAAACTCTCACTATATAGAGTAATCGGAGTACTGGGCATCCTGCATGAAGGAGGTTTTCTGTGAGATGTGGATGAAGAGGTAGATGTTTCAACAGAGGGAACTACCCAGTCATAGTCCTTGGACTGCTACATGTTAAAGGTGTTCAGGCAACAGCGCAGTACAGACCCACTTCAGATACATGGTAAAGGTGTTCTTTGGGGGAAATCCCTGGATGTGGCCAAGAATGTTCGGCCTTTTTACTGTGGCAATACATTTTGTTTAAAAAAGAATTACAAGTTGACAAGAAAAAGTGACTGCAGATCTTGCCTGCTGATAATGTATGCATCTCACCCCTGAATGTCTCCCGAATTTACTCATCTGAACTCTGAATATTGAGAAAGCATCTTATCATCTTTATCCTGGTTGTTTAACTTTCCTGGTGACTTAATTTGGGAAGGAGTGCGTGTGAATAGATAAAGAAGGCAAAAACTGAACTCTGTTGCAGCAACTGACATGGGGGACAATGTAAGTATTCTGCTTCAAACAGCAAAATTAATCATCTAGGCTCAGGGGGGTAAATAAAGTGGTGATTTCATGAAGTTCCATATAGAGTTACAGCCATCAAGTCATGAACAAACTGTTTGAACATGTTCTATTAAATCTAATTAAATTCATATGGGGGAGTAAAAATAACTTGGCAGCATATTTTAGAAACAGCTAGGGAAAGACAGAAGCCAGGGAACCCAATGAGAACTAACAAAAACAAAATTAGCCACTGTAAATAGATTTGTTTCAGACAAAAAATTCAGCATTTTTTAAAAAAATAAAGTGCCATATTATGCTA